ACTGAGCAATTATTATGTCCCAGGTCTCAGCTCTCTGGAGTTGAGGGTGGGTGTCTAAGGGATGTAGGGAGTGTGGGCTAGGGTCTTCAAGGAAGCATACCAAAGGTAGTGGTATCCGAGTTACGTTTTAAAGGCTCAGTAACCTTAACTTAAGCTAACCTCCCAGGTGTAAGTGGGTATAAGACCCCTTCACCTAGTGGCACATTCATCCTGTTGAGTGCTGGCCTCGGCTCTGCAACATTTTCACTGGGTGCCCATCCAGGGAGGGTGAACCAATTCAGGGCCTGGCTGCCACTGAAATGTCTTCCTGCTGCATCCTTTCTTGTAATTTGAATTATTCTCATTCCATCAGAGAAGATATTCAGAGTGGAGAATGCGAACGGAGTAAAACCCTTCCGCCCAGATCTATTCCTAGAAACGGCAGAGGAAAAAGAACTGGAAGTGAGTGCATCTCCCTACATGAGTTTCTGTGTTGCTGTAACAAATTACCAGCAATTCGGTGGATTTAAAACAACAGAAATTTATTGCCTTACATTTCTGGAGGCCAGAAATCTGAAATAAGTTGTCAGCACGGTCACAATTCCTCCAGAAGCTCTAAGGGAGAATCCATTCCTTGCTTCTTCTAGGAGCTTCTGGTGGCTACTGACATTCCTTGGCTTGTGACTACAACACTCTGCCTCCATCCCTGCCTCCATGCTTACATTCTTGTTTCCTCTTCGGTCTAATCCCACTCTACCTCCCCACTGTATAAGGATTCATGTGACTGTGTTGGGACTACCAAGATACTCCACAATAATGTTTCTATTTTAAGGTCCTTTACTTTTTCACATCTGCAAAAAACCGTTAGTCCAAATAAGGTAACATTCATAGGCTCCAGACGCCAGAACGTGGACATTTTCTTTGGGTGCCATTATCAGCCTGCCACACTCCCTGTGTCCTTTTCCACCTCACCCAACGTAAGAAAGAGCTGGATCCTGAAGTATATATCACATTCTCAATATTTAGGTCCTAAAAGATCAAGGTGTCCATGTGATACATTTATTAGGCTTATAAATAGTGTCTACTGATTTAAAAATGAATGTGTCAGCATCTAGAAACAATACAGAAATGTATAGGACACATTCCAAGACCCCCAGTGGATGCCTGACACCATGGATTATACAGAGCCCTATGTATACTAGATTTTCTTTCCTGTAATTACATACCTATGATAAAGTTTAATTTATAAATTAGGCACAGCAAGAGACTGACAACAATAACTAATAATAAATTAGAACAATTGTAACAATATACTGTAATAGAAGGCATGTGATTGTGGTCTCTCTGTCTCTCAAAAATATCATGAGAGGATAAAATGCCCATGTGGTGAAACAAAGCTAAGTGAATGACACCCCACGCATTGTGGGGTGCTGTTAGGTTACTATTGACCCCTGTAGGTCAGAAAGAGGATCGTCTGATTCTGAACCGTGGTTGACTCAGACAAGAAGGGACTATTGGAAATCAGAATCTCCTGGGGAGGGGACTGGGCATAAGAAACCGGAAACCTTCTCAGGTGATTCCACTGGTAGCCGTGGTTGGAAATCCTTGTGGGAGAGCCTCCCCTTAGAGTTACTGTCTCATACCCACTGACCCCAATGATTTATTGTCCTCTGCAACAGAAAACCTGCAAACTTCCATAAAGCATTTTGTCTCTCTTAGCAAGCCAGTCTTGTCCAAATCACTATCACATTTTTCACTAATTTAGGACATGTGTCTGTTTAACACCTGAACTAGAGCACTCTAGTGGGACAACATGCATTTTGTAGTTCTTACTGAAAGAAGATCTATAGTTTTGTCACGTGTCCTCTCAGGAGGAAAATGCTTCCTTCCATTCATTCTGTTAGAAGGATGTGGCAAGGTGGTGCAGGTGGCAGGGCAGAGACCGACTGAGGGGGAACCCAGCAATCTCATCCTCATCGTCAGAGTTGAGTTGTTTTCAAAATATTCCCTGCCTCAACTATTCCCATGGAGGGAAGACAGTAAGATTGGATACTGCCCCTTTCGCTAATCCACCCCTTCTTTCTTTCAGGTCTATCTACTTGTAAAAAACTGCTGGGAGGAAGATCCGGAGAAGAGACCAGATTTCAAGAAAATTGAGTCTACACTGGCCAAGATATTTGGGTATTGCTGAAACTTTTACTTTTCCTCACTAATTACAGATTTTTCTAATAATATTTGATATTCAATGGCACTTCAGAACGGAATGCCTGTTCTAATGAAAAAACTCCCAGACTGCAACATCTGTCTCGAAAAAATTACAAGGAGATAGAGCCCAACAGATTGTTTTCTCATGGAATAATCACTTGAAAAGTTAAATACTCAAAGACAACACTTGCCTGATTAAAAAATAAATTCTGATTTATCATAAATATGTCTGTTGAAAATATAGTTCCCTGGGGCACCTGAGTCACTCAGTCGGTTAAGTGCCAGCCTTCAACCTCAGGTCATGATCCCAGGTTTTGGGATAGAACCCCACTTCCCCATCTGGCTCCCTGCTCAATGGGGAGTCTGTTCTCCTTCCCCCTCTGCCTCTCCCCACACTTGTACACTCATGCGCTTGCTTTCTCTCTCATAAATAAAATCTTTATATATATATAAACTATATATGTATATATACTATATATGTATATATAACTATATATAAAGTATATATAAAACTATATATATACGAACTATATATATGTATAGTTTCCTGACCCTTCTACAGATAACTAGGATTTAGAAGTCTAGCATGAGTCCTATGAATCTGCAAAGCTACTGGATAATTCTTACAATCAAGAAGTTTTTAAAATCTTAAATTTAGCAACTTTGGCCCTAGATACTTAAGACTTGTGCCATGAATCAGATTATAATTCAGTGTCCAAAAAAAAGCCACACACACACACACAAAAAAAAAAACCAAAGCAAAACAAAACAAGCAAAACAAAAAGCACACAATTACCCAGTAAGGTTGAACTGTATATTTTCCGTGTTTCAGTTACATACAGTGCAGTAAGAAAAATAACCGTGAACTAAGAGTTAAGAGATCCAATTTCGAGACCAAGATCTAGTAATAGCTTGCTGTGGGACATTGGGCAAAATGCTTACCCTAACTGGATGTCAATTTTCTTTTTAGTAAAACTGAATTTAAATGGGATGATTTCTGCAATTCCTTCCAGCTCTAATTTTCCATAGTTCTCATTAAGTCAAAGATTCAGATACTTAATGAGCCTAAAAGCCCAGGTCAAGTGAAATCACGAAAGTGTGGTCATTGATTGGTACATCTAATCTGTCATTTGTGTGAAAGGAGCAGAAAATAATAAACGATGTAATTCTTGCCCATTTTTCATTCCTTCACAGACCTTTTACTAAGATCAGATGAAACTGTATGTGTGACAGATGAAACTGTAAACTCATGAGGATAAACTGGGCCTCCGATACTTAGCCTTTTATAGGGTGGTTCTCAAGCTTGCCTGCACGTTGAGATCACCTGGGGGTCAGCGGGGGAGATGTTAAAAAGACCAGTGCCAGAATCCTGCCCCAGAGAGTCTGATGTAATTGCTTCTGGGGTGCAGGCTGGCATCAGGAGTTTTAGTAGCTCCTCGGGTGATTAAAATATGCAGTCAAGGTTGAGAAAACTGTTTTAATTGAATCAATTTATCACAAAAGAAGATAATCTATCTTCATTCCTTACACCTGCTCCCTCACCCAACCAGATTCTATGCTAGTGTCTTCAAGTAAGAACCCCCTGGGGAGCTTGTTAAAAAATACTCTTTCATAATCCCAAGCTTAGTGGTTTCTAGTTATTTCGGTCTGCAGTTGGACTCAGAAATGTATCGAATGTTTAACAAACATCCCTCCCCACCCCAGGGCATTATGACAGAGGCCATCTTCTCCTTGAGCTCGGAAGTGGTAACTTATAATTGCTGTTGCAATAATAAATGGTAGGATTTATTCAACCCCTTCAATGGCACCATAGACATTATAATCATTATCTCGATCCTGAACGACCCTACGGGCACTCAGTATACCCCTGACCAAGTTCTGCACCAAGGCTTGCCCTGCCTCTCAGTGTTGCAGAAAGCTGGCATCTTGTCTAAGTCTCCTTGGCCTAACAAATCATCCAGAGTTAGGTTTTTTGCTTTAGGAGCTCAGCTCTCTGTTCTAAGGGGATAATAGGAGGCTCAGCTTTGCTTTTCTTCGTCCTTCCCTTCTCCTTGCATTTATCACTGCTAGAGCCTTAAAAAAAAAAAAAGTTTCTCCCTCTATTGTAAATTATTAAAATTTCAGGAAACAGGAATAAGCAAACCAGAAAGAAAAGACATCACCTCTTTGTTAGATGACTATCAGTTTTCAAAAATTAAAAATAATTTCTGCCATTGCACCAACTTTTTTATTTAACAATATAGAGGTGTGGGTCTTTCTGTATATTTAACTATTCTAATTTGAATTTAATGATACATTAATTTTCCATTGTATCATAATATTTTAATCATGTTTCGTTACACATTTGGGTTATTTGTTAATGGTTGCTATTACAAAGAATGCTGGGACCTTTTTTGTAGTTACTTTTCAGCACATTCATGTTGCTTCCTTTAGATAGATCTAGAAGCAATGCTGGTGGACTGATCAGTGTGTGTACTTTTCACATTTCTGACACATTTTGCCAGGTCATAGCATATGTTTTTCCTCCTTACCTCCATTGATTACCATTGTTCTAACATTTTGTTTTCTTTTAAAAAAAATCTTGTTTATTTGTATTGGATTTTTCCTGAGGTTATTTTTTTTAATGTGTGTTGGTCGTTTTTATGTTTTTCTCCTTTTTAAAAAATGTTTTTCTTTAATTAACAGTTGCATATTTTCCACTGTTTTACTGGATGTTTATGTTTTTTTGAAAAAAAAAAACAAACATGTAACCATTCTTTATCTATTGCCATCTACAGCCTATTTCACGACCAAAAAAGTGAAAGTTATATGGATACCTTGATCCGACGTCTACAGCTGTATTCTCGAAATCTGGAACACCTGGTGGAGGAAAGGACCCAGCTGTATAAGGCAGAAAGGGACAGAGCCGACAGACTTAATTTTATGTTGCTTCCAAGGTAAGACAGTTCCTCCTGCTGAGTGGTTTCACACAATTCCACAGCTGTGCCTTGTTCCTTCTAGCTGAGAGCATCAGCATTTTTGTCCAGTATTGTTTTTTTTTTCCTTTGTATCTATAGAGGATTATTCCCTTTTGCACATTCTTCAACAGATTATTGAGTTAAAAAAGTACCTTGCTAAGACTTGGTCTGGTTTGTACTTTAAAAATCTAGAGAAAAAAAGGTTATTTTCAAGTGGCTGTGTCGTGCCCTCAGAGGAGCACAGGGAATAGAGTTAGAGTGACCAGGTTTCTGACACCTCTTTGCCTGCCACTTTTACTAAGTCTGTGATCTTAGGCGAGCCACAGTCTCTCCTTAATCTCAAAATGGAGATTAAAGTTTTCCTATAGAATCTATGAGCTACAAGGCACTTGCAGGCACTAAATGCTCATTCCTTTCCTTTCTCTTTCTACCTCAAAGTAGAAGCCAAATTACAAGAAGTAGGAGCAGTTGTTAGTGGAGGAGGTGGGGACCACATATCAGATGCCTCATCACAGAGGCATCTATGGGCTGAGCTCTGTTTTGTGAAATAGTATCACAACCATGACATAAGAGAAAGGAAGTAAGGTTGAAATCTTCAAACAGTGTAAAGTTTTCTGAGTGTTGGTACTCAGAAAAATAACTAAGCAATGTTAAGAGAACCAAGAAATGAAAATGTGAAGAGTTAGAAAACTGTCACAAGTGAGCAGTCAGGTTCTCCTGTCATTAAAGTGGAATAAGGTGTTCTATGAGATGAAGGCTAAGCTAGGTAGTCTAGCCTTGAGTAAAATCATAGAAGCTGAGGTCAGCTAGGCCTGACAAAAAACCATAGTTCCACCACCAACTTGGACAAGTTACCTACATGATCCAAGCCTCAGTTTCTCATCTACCTCAGACACCAGCCCTAAGAATTTCCTGAAATAATGCTTAGGATATGTGGTACTCAGCACAGAGTCTGCTATATCCATGGTTGTTATTATTATACATAGTAGCTGTGACATTAATGTATAACTTGTGTTCATTGTTTTATTTTGAACCCATGCTTTATTTACAATATGAGCTCTACATTAATAAGGAATGATTTGAGACCGGGTGAGCGGTCTTCTAAATAGGCAGTTTCTTTTTGACAAACCTGAGTGAAGAGGTAGGACTGACACACATGCTCTGTTCAGTCATCCATGCCTGAAGGGAGCCTCCAGCAGAATCTGTGTGTCCTCAGAGTGCTGAGGAACAGCCCGGGAATGGTATCCTGGAAATAGGCTGAAGCCCTTAATATTCCCATCAGAGATGGCAATTTCACTCAGAGCTTCATAAATGCTAGTTATATGATGCATAATACTTTGCCTGGCCTTTAATGTTGAGTTGTGACAAAAACAACATCCAGATAATCTGACTGCCTTCTCAGGGTGTCATCATCAGTGGTTTTAACCAATAATCTTGCTCAAACAATTCAAAACAGCTCATAACTTCCTCAGATTTTTCTTACCCTTGGTGTAATGTGCCACTTCGACACTAGAGGGTAGATGTCTTGTTTGTTTTAATTACTGAGTCTTGTTGACAAACTATTCTGTTGGTTTCAGGTGGGCAACATGGTGATTTGATGATTCTAGACATTACTCAGTGTTCACCACAATAAGTTTAGTTACCATCTGTCACAATACAATGTTATTACAACAGTATCAACTATATTCCCTATGCTCTACTTTTCATCTCCATGGGTAGATGTTTTTATTGCATTGCCAGAGGTTATATAACACAATACACCATGCCTCCGGTTCAACTCACTTTGATAATTTATGTAAAAAGTATTTATATTTTTAAAGGAAAACTAAACCATACACCAACAGTAACTACAAGAATCAAAAGGAATATTTATGGCAAAATTGCAAATAAACTAAGACTGCAATGTAGAAACCAGATATTAAACATTTATTTAAACAGTGCCCCTTGGGCTTTGAGACATTAATGTTGAAGTTTTTTCTCTTTGTGGGAAGCCTTTCCAAAACATCTACTCTGTTTGCTAATCTATCTATGTCAGCAACAACCTGTTACCAAAGCTTGCCATGTGAAGTCACAGCTCTTCATTTATCTATCCACATTAATTTCTCTCTCTGGGTAATGCACTAGTTTCTAAGCTCATATGACTTTTAGACATAAGCAGTAATAGGAACGGTAAAGATGGTAAAATATCCAATTTTATCATTACATTTATGTATCCTAAAAATTTGCACCCTTATACTGGACAGGTCAAGAACCACCATCCCAGAAGTGCCCCCCCGAGAATCCAACCAGCCACATCAAAGGGGTGTTTCTCAAAGGTCCCAGGCTTTGTTATTGCACCAATTGAAAAGATTTACCTCAATGGTTTGAAGGTTGTATGTCCTTGTGGTTGACGAACTGTTTTCTGGGAGAATGGCAGACATTCCTTCTCTGATACAAATAGCATACCTCCAGATCTTCCTCATCTTCATGAATATCCAAGGTCTGGGTTGTGGAGGAGATACCATGCAATAAAAAGACCAAAAGGTGGGATGTTGCTGAGTACTGGCTCTTCCCTTAGTGGCAGTGGGACCTTGTGAAAGTCATACTTTCTTTTTAAGCCTCAGTGTTCTCAATGATCTCTAAGGCACCCTCCCAGTGGCCATGTTCTGATTCTAGTGGTTCATACTTAGGTTCTTTACAGAGGGATTCCAAGGGCAGACAGGGAGCATCTAGCCCCATGTTGGTCCCACCTATTTTCTCAGTGAAAAAACGACTTGGCACATCAAGGAAGTATGGTGTGAATTCCTTCTTATGGTTCTCTCTAATTCTAAGTTTGATGTACTACTCCTTCTGTCTCTGCAACAAAGATACTATAAGTTGCTTTTATTTGACTTCTGCAGTTTTACCATAATTTTAACTTGTTTACATGGTGACTAATTTTGCTTTTTAAAGGACCCACGTCTGGTTCAAGAATATACCAAATAAATCCCTGTTCAGAATTTGTCAAAGTTGATTTTTAAGTGCATTGTTCCTTTATACTGATATCCAACAATACCATGTAAAATATGCTTAGGAGGCAAAACTGTTGGCTCTGATGAAAAAAGTCAGATCTGACAGCTGCAGTAATTCAAGCTCTTGCATTAATGACACACTCTCCTCAGCCTCTTGATGTAGAGCTATATCTAGAAGGAGTTGACTATCAATAGAGTGGTAAAATGTGGGCAAGTGTGTATATAGACAAAGGGGTTATGTAGGCACTAGAATTATATGTACATGTGTGTTGGGGTTAATAATCATGTACTAAGTTAATGCTAAATCTGCATATATTCCTATGAGTTCAAATGCATGGATCATATGTGTATGTATGTAATATATTCCTATGGTCAGTATGTGCAACCAATCTTTGCTTCCTATCACCCCATTCAGTGGAAATCCCAAATTGTAGAATTCCTTGTGGGTAGTTACTACTATCTTAAATATGTATGCAAGATAAGAAAAATAATTACTAAGTTGAAGACATCTTTTTCCCCTTTCTCATCTAGGCTAGTGGTAAAGTCTCTGAAGGAGAAAGGCATTGTAGAACCTGAATTATATGAGGAAGTTACAATCTACTTCAGTGACATTGTAGGTTTCACCACCATCTGCAAATACAGCACCCCCATGGAAGTGGTGGACATGCTCAATGACATCTATAAGAGTTTTGACCACATTCTCGATCACCATGATGTGTACAAGGTAACCACTTCACCTAACAGGCTGAAATGATTGTACTGCCCCTGGTCAGCAGAGCCAAAGTTGGTTGGTTCCTATTATTACTCAGATCTTGGCCTTTCTAATTTAAGATTTAATGAATTTGTGGTTGAAACTGAGCTCAACCCGGGAAAATGAAGGGAAGTAAAAGAATAATAAGGCTCAGAAGTCAAAATTGCCCTTGTGACTTCTGAGAAGCAGAACGAAAGAAGCAACATAAGGTTCATCAGGAATGAATTCTGGATACTAAATTTATAGAAAATGGCATAATCTCAAATCATTGAAATTGAAAAAAAAATGGACAGGGTGTAGACTGATTGCAAAGGAAGCAGAGAAGACACCAGAGTCATAAGAAGTAGAATAGTGATCTATTGCTGAAATAGTGAGCACAATTCAAAGAAGATTAAAGAAGAACAGGGAAAACATTCTGTAACTTCAGAACTAGGTCTGTGACCTGACTAGAGTGCTGACCAGTTCTGGGCTAATAATGTCTGGGTCCAAAAAAAAAATAATAATGTCTGGGTCAGAAGAGTAAAGGAGAATTGAATTCCCACATTTTCATGTTGGAAAAGCTGCAGAGCCTATGAAGCAAGTGACTTAGAATTAGAGCTCTTCGTTTGAATCCCAACTGGTCCTACCTGTGTGACCTCATTTAATATATTTAACTTTGTCAAGTTTCAGTTTGCCTATCTGTAAAATGGGAAGATAACAGCACCTAACTCAGTGAGTTATTATGAAGGCTATTTAGATAAATAATATGCCTGAAATACAGTTTGCTCAAGTAAAGTTTAGAGGTCACTCATGTAATAGTCTGTCATAATGGTTATTACCCACAGAGAAGATGTTCCTTTTAGGTTTGTCCTAGCCCCATCTTCACTCTGTGTAGGTCAGAAAGCCATATGAACAATAGTTCTTGTTGGATAGGAAATGGCTAATGCGGGATCCCTGGGTGGCGCAGCGGTTTGGCGCCTGCCTTTGGCCCAGGACACGATCCTGGAGACCCGGGATCGAATCCCACGTCGGGCTCCCGGTGCATGGAGCCTGCTTCTCCCTCTGCCTGTGTCTCTGCCTCTCTCTCTCTGTGTGTGTGTGACTATCATAAATAAATAAAAATTTAAAAAAAAGGAAATGGCTAATGCATTTTAGAGATGGTTGGCAAAGAAAAGTTAACTATTCAACAAATGTGAACTATATGATTATGAACATAAAATTAAAAGAGATGTCATTTATCAAAGAATAATGTTTACGGGATACTGTTGTGTTTTTTTTAAGATTTTATTTATTCATGGGAGACAGAGAGAGGCAGAGACATAGGCAGAGGGAGAAGCAGGCTCCCTGCAGGGAGCCCAATGAGGGACTCAATCCTAGGACCGGGATCACACCCTGAACCAAAGGCAGATGCTCAACCACTGAGCCACCCAGGTGCCCCATGTTTATGGGACACTGTTGACACACACACATTTACTTGTTACAAGAAAAGTGTTTGGAATCACTATGCTATAAGAATGTGAATTACATCTTGGAGGAGTCTACAATTATTTTCTGTCAAATAGGATATAATATTAAAAAATGTTAAGTGCTAAAGTTGACTTTTCTGGTAATTACAGGTGTTCCTAAAATTATATACAATCATTCAGACTATGTAAACATTACAGAATTGTCACGACATCTAGATGATTTCTATGATTATGAAGTACTTTCATATGGTCAAAATCTTTCATAGCTGTTTTATCATTCATTTAACTAGATATAAAACCATGAAGAAATTAGCATAGACCTGGTCTTGAGCTAGTCCCAGAAAAAGTATGGGGGCTATGCTCACACTGAGTTCTCAAAAGCTTTTGTTTTGATATGCAGTCAACTACTTGTTTTTAATTTCCTCTGCCTTTGAAGGGGTAGGACCACTAATAAGCAACTATTTCCACAGGTGGAAACCATTGGCGATGCCTACATGGTGGCCAGTGGTTTACCCAAGAGGAATGGCAACAGGCATGCAATAGACATTGCCAAGATGGCCTTGGACATCCTTAGTTTCATGGGGACGTTTGAGCTGGAGCATCTTCCTGGTCTCCCAATATGGATTCGCATTGGAGTTCACTCTGGTATGGAGTTAAGTACTCTAGTATATGGGCACCATATGAACCTCTATGCACCAACTAAATCAGAAAGGATAAAGGGTCTTTGGATGTGATCAATTTTCCCATAAAGTTTATTCTTGAATCTGTCTGTCAAATATCCTGACATAATTAGACCCAATCCCAAACCCTTATAATGTCCCATTACATATACTGACATAATTGGACCCTCCTTTGAGAATTCTAGGGAACAACAGCTTTTATAGTACCTTTGACTCCTGGAATGATAAACACTAACCATGGACTAAAATGACAGCCTCCAGACTTCCTCCTGTTTTTTTTTTAAGATTTTTATTTATTCATTAGAGACACACACACACATACACAAAGAGGCAGAGACACAGGCAGAGGGAGAAGCAGGCTCCGTGCAGGGAACCCGACGCGGGACTCGATCCCGGGTCTCCAGGATCACACCCTGGGCCAAAGGCAGGCGCTAAACCGCTGAGCCACCCTCAGCGGTTTAGATCCCCATATTTACCATTTCATTTATTTCCCTCCCATTCCTTCCCTCTGCCCCATTGTCAACTTATGTAGATGCTTTTCCTCCACATTAGTATAGCATCTTTCATGGATTGGATTATCCACAGGGGAAAAAAATAGCTGTTAATATTGCTATAATGAAAGGGCATTTATGTCCTCCCCACCCCCCTCTGTGGTACAGAAAGTACATGGATCACTTCAAAGACCATGAAAGATACTCAGTCTAGAATGAAGAGATTTGAAAAGGTGAACTACAAATGTTATGGAAAAATTAAGTTGGAGAGGAACTCAGAAGTCATCTGGATTAATCCTTTATAGGGAACAACTTATTTTTATACATTCCAAGACAAGTAATAATATAGCTACTTTTAGAATAATCCCAAAATTCCCTGAAAACTCAGTTTCCAAAGCCAACTTACTCCATTATAAAATATGTATCATTATTAGACAATCTTTCCTTGTGTTAAATTAAATTACATCTCTCTATACATTCTCGTCATTGCTCTTTCTTCTGCCCTCCAAGGCTCTCAGAAGACTCAAAACACAGAAAATCCAAGATCACTCCAGGCTTTGTGCAAGGACCAGACAACTGCACTTGCAAGTCATCCTATATCCACAATTCCTAGTAGAAAGGCTGGCAGTAAACATTTATTGATTTAGTAATAACCCAGGGTAGTTGTAAAAGTAACAATAAATAGAAGTTAAAAATTCCTGCCACATTCATTCTTCTCCAATCACATCCATAGCCATAGATCATAGATGTTTTCATATACACATGAGGGGACTTCTCGGGCATTTCCTTAGCCAGCAATAGCATGCTCTCCCTTTTGTGGCCCATCACAGATTGCCAGACCTGGAGGGAGAGACAGCAGCATGGCTGGATGAGCCAAGTCAGGGAGGACAGAGTTCTGGGTCCTGGTCCCATCTTTTCCTCCTGTGGCCAACTCAAGCCTGAGCTGACTGCCAGGGCCCCACGTGTCACCACATTGGGCTGAAATGAGAATAGATTATTAGGAACACATATCTGGAGGGACTTGGCCCTCTAAAATTAAGAAGTTGCAGTTAAATACTGATAGTTGAAAACAAGACTAGATATCTGCAGGATTTTTCTGCTAACCAGACCCTCCCAGCTTCACT